GTTGGCTTGACCATAGCAGCAGCTGGATTTGCAGGTTTGTAGATGATGGGATGACACTGAATGCTCAGTGGTACTTCTCGTTGCCTGCTTCAGTACTGATGAATTTTAAGGTAGTTTAATAGCAGGTACAGGCAAGTCTTTTAGGAGAGCCTGTATTGAGAAACATGGCTGTAATTAAAGAAAATATCAGAGTTACTACGTTTTTATGTTCCCCAAAAGTTTGTTCGGTGTTCTAATCCACAAGTTACCAGTTGCACTGAATGGCTAAATCTTTATGAAACTTTATACTTAGCCTTGTTCGACACAAATTTCTTTAAGGTCGCTATGCACTAAAAGCTATGAAGCAAATGGAGCCACAAGTAAAACAAGCACTTCAGAATCTACCAAAACCTGTAAGTTTTTATTTTATCAGTAGCATCTTTTAATTTAAAAGTTTATGTGGTGAAATAACTACAGACTATTGCCTCTGTATAGCATTGCTGCATTTTCTTATAATACTAAACAGTTTTTTCAGTAATAACAAGTAATCTCAGCAATTCTGGTGGTGGCTGACTAACAGAGAGCTTGTTTTGGCAAGTTGAAGTACTCAATGATACTTCGACAGAATTTCTTATTACAAGTGCAAAAGAAGCTTTGCAGTATTCATACAGACTAAAAGCTCAGCAGCTACTAAAGCAATGATGAGGTGCTTTAACTGATAAATGTAAAAATCAGTGTTTTTTAAACTAACCTGTTCTCTCTTTCAGGCCTTCAGTGGTTATTACAGAGGTGGATTTGAACCCAAAATGACTAAACGAGAAGCAGCTTTAATACTAGGCGTGAGGTAAAAGGAAATTTATTAGAAACGAGAGGTGTAAAGGAGGCTACAGTGTTACCTAGTTGCTGGCCTGGTTTGAGAAGGATGTAATTCTCACTGTTTAAGGCTGTCCTGTGCCCAGCTTCCTCTGGGAATGTCGCTGCCAAGTCGGGAAATATGTGCAGCGGCCTTTCAGGATTTTCCGTACTTATTTGGGATTCTTTGCTGCATGTTAGCTTGCTTAAAGCTAGCTCTATCTGGACTTCCATACATCTGCAAATCCCTAGCACATTCAAAAGCCGGGTCCAGGTACATATGCCATTTCCAAGAAGAGTTGGGGTTTACTAGGTGTGGGGAGCAGGGCAGTGCTGTTTGCTTGTGGTTCCCATCACTGTGGGTGAATGTCAGACAGCTGCAGTGTAAAGGTGCTGCAAACCCACTTTCTGCATGTGGAGTAAATTCAGCACTTCTAGAGTATCTTGGATATGAGTATGGTAGCTATCCCTGCCAAAACTTAGAGACTTAAGACCAAAACCACAAACTTATCTAATAAGATACAGAATAATTTCTATTTGAAGACAACTTCTGACTGTGAAGTTTGTATACAAACAGTTTGTTGTTTGGTGGATTTTTGGTTTCTTTTAAATAAATCAAGAGCAAATTTTATTTTATTTTTTTCCTCCAGCCTTTAGGAAGTTGTCCCAATAAAAATGTTACAACATAGTTCTGTTTGTTTTCAACTGTGTGAATGTCCTGCGGCATATGAGACTGCTGTAGCATGTCATCTTCTGCATACAGTGTTTTGGAAGAACCTTAGAAACCCTCGCTAGGGCTTAACATGTTACACGTTAATAACAGGAAAAGAAAAACATACCTGTAAGCCAAAGAGTATATGGATAAGACAGAGTGCTTGCTTATTCTGAGACACCTTTTAAAGATCTGGGGAACTTTATGAGGTTCCCTTGAGTCAGTTTTTCTCTCTCTTTTAAAGCCCTACAGCCAACAGAAGTAAAATTAGAGAAGCTCATAGACGGATCATGCTTCTGAATCATCCAGATAAAGGTACGTAAATTAAGTCACATCAATTAATTAATACATGTTTTTAACACAGATTAGTAGAACTGTGTAGCGAAGAAGTGACTGACATATGACTACCCCAGCTACTAAAAAAAAACCAACCAGAAAAGTCTGAGTGAAACAAATTTTAGCATGCCTTAATCCTTGTGGTTTTGGAGCATATTTTTGTGTTTGCTCCAAAGCAAGCAGATTCAGCAGATCAGCTTGTTACTTGCTCTGTCTTCTGTGCCTATCAGATTAAAATATGGTTTGTTAAAATGACTTAAAATTGCCTTAGTTCTACATGAAAGTGTATTTATGCACTTTATGTACCGTGTGAGTTTGATTTCATTTGAATGCACTGGGAATTCACCATAAATGGCAGGTATTGAGCCTTCTGTGTCTGTTGAAGACACTAGACTATGGAATCTCTCTGTGGTACTCTGGAGGCTCAGAATCTAGTTACACTTAAAGTTAGTAACTTGAGGCATCTATACCTGTCCTAAGTTCTGTTTACTTCATTGAGTCACAATCATGCGTTAGTCCTTGGCATTTAACTTTTTAATCCTCACTTGAAAGGTAAAATGGCTTCCTTTAAAGTGACTGTTGAACTTGCTTACTTTTATGCATCGTAATCCAAACTAATCCTTGGGATATGCCTTTCATAGACAGTATCTAGCAGAAGTTAACTTCGAAAGTAACTTTACTGAATATCTGCAGAACATAAAAGACTGGTGGGAGCATTTCGCATGTTTTACATGAGTAAAGTAAGTTAAGTTAAGCTTCAAGTAAATAGAGTAATTCTAGTACTAGTAAATGGTATACATGCTACAAATACACGCTGCAGATCTTTGCACCTCAAGGTCAGTTACAATTTCAGGGCATTTGCATTGTGGATTCTGTTTCAGTACCTTCACAAGTCATTTGCGTGTCATGTTTAAAAACTGAACTAGTCCATTGGTACAGCAGCAGCTCATGTGCTGGCCTTGAATTGGGGGGAAAAGGTTTATCTGCAGATTTACTATTTTTTAACGCGTCTGTATCGCAACAAACTGCGCTAAGTCATTAGTTATCAATTCATTTATGACTGATAAAACTGGAGGGAAAAAACCCAGCTCCAACGAACTACAGTGTAGCAGCTCATTCAGCCGTCTGCACATTCAGCTACTGCCGTGACTGTCTAAACTTACATGGCGTCAGTCGTGATGTACTTTGTTCTTTAACTTGAGTAACTTTCAGACCGTACTGTCACTTTTTTTTCCTGTGTACTGTGGCACTATTAGCAACACAGAAAATATTTTTTCCATCTGATGTGACGTGAGGTTATCTTTCTTCTAGGTGGTTCTCCATATGTAGCAGCCAAAATCAATGAAGCTAAAGATTTACTGGAAGACCAAGCTAAAAAATGAATGTGAGAGAAAATCAGTGGCTTTGTCCATGCACATGATTATTTTTGATAAATGGCTTAAGAGAAGTTCTCATGTCAGTCTTTGGCTTAACATAAATGAAGCTGGAAATATGAATCCAGGGAGGTACCTCCTTCCCCACTCACGCACTTTTTGGGGAAATGTGTGAGGGAGTGAGGCTTGACTTTTTTTCATAGCTGTTCTTTATTAATAATCAGCAAAATTGCCACACAGAAGTATTTTCAGTGTACAAGAGTAGTGACGTGGTTTGGCCAATGCATGTTACCAGATGCAGGTACTTACCTGCTGTTACCTAACTCTTGTTAAACTAGTTATGTTTGAAGTCTATGCTGCTGTTCTTTCATATGCCAAAGTTAGCACGGTGAACCGGTTTGGGGAGGGGGGGGAATCAAGAGCATTTATTTGACGGGAAAAACTGGGACAGATGTGTGGTTGTCTCGGACTGAAGAAATAAAGTCTAGGAAGCAACATACTCGGTTGTCTTTGCCTTGGGAAGAACAAGGTTGGTTGAGCTTCTTATGTGTTACTGATGGGTCTGGAATGTCCCAGATTTTTTAGTAACTTTCAGTTTTTAATGGATTTTATAGCATTTAATAAATTCCAAATTTGTAATCTAAGTATTGTAGTTTTATACATTATCTTCCACTACAAAGTCAGAGTTCACATGCTAAGGTGTGCAGTAATTAGGAAACAGAAACTCCTCACATGAAGAGTCCTGAGCTGGATCTGTTGTGTGGCACGAAGCCTAACGTACCCCAGCAGCTGTCGCCTTTGCATGCATCTGAATTAGGGCCCAGGAGTTTTGTCATACCCCAAGAATCTTGCCAGTCTTTCTGCAACTAGGGTGCACACGCAAGAGTTGACACCTGCTCATCAGTGCAGCGGGTTCCAGAGCTTTCATTTCTCCAGAACTAACCAGCCTCTACCCTGGAGCACCACTGTAAGTAGCCTTACATCCTTGGCCTGAACCTCGGCTGCTACGTTGCTGCTTTTCTGTAGATGAGTTATAGGCCATCTCATATTGCCAGAACAAGAGAGGGGAAGAGCTCCATGCCTTCAGAAGAGGGGATCAAGTCAGTAACAGGAGTATGAAATACTTAGAACTTAACAGAGAGGGGGACAACTTTGCTTTACTACAGCCTTTTACTGCAACTTCTTTACTGCAGCAGTTCCAGAGTATGCGTGGTTCAAGCCATATGCAGAATTTCCCCACCAAATACTATTGATACTTTTTAAACATAGCTTTCTCTTTTTCCCTGTTTTTTTAAATTTTCTCCACTCTTGTGGATGCCTTATCAGTTGAGATGCTTGGGCACACTTCAGTTACAACAATTTGTTTGTTCTCCAGGAGGGAACACTGTTGATGAGTCTAAAAACTGTACAACACCTTAATGAAATACATGCTCAAACTTAATTGGTGCAACTCTTCTGTAGCTGTATTGAGTACAGCAGCTGGAATCGCAGGTGGTTCAGAGTACCTGTTTTTGCCCTTACTTCTGACAAAATCAGGTAAGACAATTTCTTTCTTTCAAGTCAGCACAGCTTCAGCACTACTGCTTCCGCTCTGACGTCTTACAGAATCTCCTTGCTACCCTGGTGTTTTTCCACACCGGTGTTTTCCGCTGCACTGCTCCCGCACATGTGCCTGAAAAGATGGGTTAGTATGTCACGCTTCTAACTTCCCAACCAAAACTACATCTGCATTAATTCCTATATATGTTAGTTAGGTTAGGTGATTGTCCAAAAAAAGAAGTCTGGTTTTAGACTCATAACTGACATTTTACATCATCACCTTGAAGAACAGAAGACTAGCATGTTAGGAGACTCTCTCATAAGAGTTAAAAGTTCAAGCTGCCTTGCAAGTAAGTTTCAGTTGTTAGTGTTAACAGCTTGAACACCCTGGAGTCAGTCATTTAAATTTCTGATAGAAACAGTCAACAGATGGAAGATCAAAGTTTATTTTCTTTTACTACCAGCATACAAAAAAAACATATTGCACATCAAACAACCAAAACAAAAATAAAAATACTCTACTAAGGACTAACATATGTAGTTTATACAGAATAAACTTTCTGGAAATTGATCTTTTCAGTAGTTCAGGTTATGTCTTAATGGACATGACTAATTCAGCTTAGTGTTAACTAAAGCTATGTTTGATTTTTAAATACTGTACAGTTTAATAAATAAACCAAACAAAGCCTCAATGTAGAACAGTCACTGCCAATGTCACCCAGTATCCCTGCAGATTATGAGAATTTAACAAATGTATTCCAGTGGTCTGCAGATTTTTCCTCTACATACAGCATTTAAAAAACATGTATTAAAACAGACCAGTTTCCAGACTAAACTAATGGAGAAATTACATTTCAGTGCAAAATATTTTAGACTGCATTTCTTTCTAGTATTCCTCAGGTGAAGAAGTGGTTGCATATTATTAAAAATGTAACAAAAGCAGCTAATGCTTTCATAAAGAGTATTATGTTAGGGATCCCCCTCACATCTTTGCCATATTTTGAAAACAAAATAACATTTCCTATAGCCAGCAATTTTGTTTATTTAAATGTTACATATACTATCTCAAGGCACATCTGATGATATATTTATAACACAGTAGGTGTCAAAGTATGTTTAACATATGATTTCTTCAGGATCCCTCCCCTTTCTGTATTCCAAAATGGAGGAACTGAAAGTGCGGTGTCAAGACTGGCGATCCATATTCTATCTTTGGCAAGCTTATACAAGCACTATTTTAAATGTAATGTAAAAGAACTGTAAACTAGGAACTTCAGTTTATGAAACACCATTCAGCACTGCTTCTTCCTGGTTACTTCCATCCTCTTGAACAGTAACTTTCTTTTCATCAGGACTGTGCTGTAGTTTAGAAGGTTCATCCCCAGAAGTTGTAGCAGGACCATTCACTGCCTTTTCAGAAGGGCTGTTTTCATCAATCGCATCTTTTGCCTTGCAAAAACAAAAACAGGGTAACAATGTCATAATTTAACAATGCCATAAAAAAAATACACGGAGTGTAATCTAATTCCCTCTGGCTCACACAGCAGTTTTGCAACAGGAAATACCCCTTGTCTATCTGTCTGTGCCAGTATCCCATTGTTTATCACATCCTTTTGCTTGCCTTGTCATTTATAGGCTACTCCTGCAGCAGACGCTTCAAGGAAATCATGCTAAGGTAACCCCGAGACAGCTTGCCCAGAATGTTTTAGTTCACAATTTCAGTTTGTCTGAGCCAGTGAAGAAGTTAACTGAAAAGCTGAGTTTTACACCTCTTTCAGAGTGATTTTATTCATCATATAGCAATAGAGCTTTCTTGTTTTGCTGAACTTGGACATAACGTAGCAGTAAGTTCAATGTTACTTTAGAAGTAAAGGAATTGTGCTTTGTTCATTTCTGAACACTTTTTTGATACATAAAGGCCACCCTGATCCTTTAAGAACAGATCTCAAATCTACAGTCTTTGTAATGTTAATTCTTTCTAAAATAGTTTGTACAAATCACTAAACATGCTACTTAGTATCCCCTTTTTATAGTTTTAAGGACTAGCTCTCAAGACTCATCCATGGATAATTTTCACATCTTATTACATAATGCTACAGTAGTAAGTGTAGTATTTTAAAATGTGTAAAGACTTAATTTGAGCATTACACTGCTCACAGAAGTCTGCAATGTCTACGAGTCTACAAGTTGGTGTCAGTTCTGTGTACTCTGGGCCATTTTTGCTTTTAATGATTTTCTCTTGAACTCAAATGCATTTCTAGTCAAATGAGAGTGATCTAAATGGAGCATTCCTTTACTGTTTTCCTGCAAGGGAAGAGGAAAAAAGGAAACCTACATTAAAAAAAATCTTACCGTTTCTTTCTTGGTTTTGGCTAGTGTCTCCTTTGGAGGGTTTCTCTGTCTACTTTGCGATTCAGCCCGTGATATATAATCAGCTACTGTAACTGTTCAAGGAAAAAAATTAAGAGTCATGCTCACATCAGAAGTCTAATTTAGCATTAAGCTTCCTATGTCTTTTCTGTACAAGTTATGCTCTAACTGGGAGACATCTCACAAAAGGCCTTCACACTTACAGGTATCAACTACATAGCAAGGATCAATTTGTCTCATGTTAAATACAATTTTCACTAAAATCAGTGGTAACATGACGATCTGAAGGTGTAATCTTAACGTTAAGAAAACAGTGATTTTGGTCCAATTTTACATTTTATTGGAAAATAAGGGCTTTCCGTACTGGGTTGGAAGAGATCAGATTGCAGGCTCTTTAAGCTAAAGGCTCTGTTTGTCATTGGGGTTTTACTATCTTCAGCAGTGAAGAATTTCACAGGAATAATATGAAGGGAAGTTAAAATATAAAAAGAATTGGGGGGAGGTTCAGAGCATGGTATCACTTACAATAAAGCAGGACTTAAATCTTTGTTACTTCATGAAGCAACTGGCAAGAGAACTTGCCCTCCTCCCAGTATTCAAGTGCAATCCACACCCTTAACTCTGGCGTGTGGGTGGGTGAACTGTGGTGTGTGTACAGACACTTGAAGCAGCTCTGTGTGAGCGAGCCCCTACTCAACAGCAGGACAGCCATGTCTGCACTGTAACAGCTACACTTACTGGATGATGGCCAGGGCTTCTCTGACCTCTTTTCTTCTTACCACCTCAGCACATGTTCTTGTAGCCCGCCCTCTTGTAACCACACCGATTGAGAGTCAATTCTATCTTTAGAATACATAGTACTACAAATTTAAATATACACTCATATCTTTGAGGAGCTAAAGCACATTAGAGTTGGCAAGCATTATCTATCGAACAGTACAGTCAATTATATTTAGTAAATCATGCATTCAGGTGAACTATTTTTCTGGATTTAGGAATGATTGTGCATGAAACCTAAATCAGAATAGGAAGTACATCACATGAATTTTCTGTTACAGTAATCAGACTTCTTACAACTGGGTCCTTGCACAACTGTCAAG